ACACACACACACACACACACACACACACACACACACACACGACTCACACACCTTCCTCTGGATCTTCCTACTATCCTAGGGCTTATGTGGTACCAAGAAATGGAAGAGGTGTCCATCTTTAGACCATGGTCAGTGCCTCTCTCCAACCACAAGTCCTCAAAGTACCCCTTGATATTGACAAGGGCTGCAGTTCTGGAGGTGGGAGAAGGGGGGAAGCTTGTAGCAATGGATTTGTGATTGGATTGGCTTTGGGAGGCTTGTACTGATGATCTCAAAACAGTGATGTTCAGTGTTCTGTCCCCAGGGATAGATCATAGTGGCTTTGCCGCTCTGGGGGTGCTGGGTGGGAGGGGCACAGATCTCTGACCCTGAAGGCACCTGTGCTCTCCTCTCTAACTCTCTTAGGGACTCCAGCTCTTTTCTAGGACGACTCCACTCTTCAAGCTCCATTATATTGTCCTCTCCTTATAGGAAAATTCTGCCTTAATTCCACGATAAGCCTAACCTTCCAAACTAAGGAAGGCCTTGGTTGATTATTTCTTCAATGACCCCTGAGACCCAAATAAACTATCACTCTCCATCCCTTAAACTCAATCCACATACACATGCACGCTTACACTCAAACCCACACATAAGCCCACACACGGATGAGCTTAAACCTTAGAATAAAAAGGGAAGAGTGGTTTTTATATTTCTCCTCAGAAGTTTGTGTGTGTGTGTTGAGAGAAGAGGATAAAAATGGAAGGGATGGGGGCACCTGGGTGGCTCAGTCATTAAGCGTCTGCCTTCGGCTCAGGTCATGATCCCGGGGTCCTGGAATCGAGCCCCGCGTTGGGCTCCCTGCTCCATGGGAAGCCAACTTCTCCCTCTCCCGCTCCCCCTGCTTGTGTTCCCTCTCTCACTATGTCTCTCTCTGTCAAATAAATAAATGAAATCTTTAAAAAAAAATTGAAGGGATGGAATGGGAGAAGTGGGGGAATTAATTATATTTTTATCCCCTTTCAACTAAACAGTGAGAACAAGTAATCAAACTGGCCACATATGCACGCATTAAAGAGCCTGAAAGATGTCAACTATACTTCAATTAAAACAAAACAAAACAAAAAGATATTAAAAGTGTTTTTCATTGAGTACTGGGATTATAGGAAAATTCTTATATTCTTCTTTGTATTTATTATAATTTTCTCAATTTTCTACAATTAATATAGGTCATTTTATTATTTAAAAGAATGCAAGTAATTTTTTCCATGCCAACACATCAACTATATTTCTTTTTTCTAATTTTCTCACCACTGTTCCTAATACGCCAATGTATTTTTAAAACAAAGAATAACTAGAAAGCAAAGAGATTTACCTTATTGAAGGGCACAGGCTATGGCTATGAGGGCATTAAAAAAAATGAGAAAAGGAGGCATCTGGGTGGCTCAGCCAGTTAAGCACGTCCAATGCTTGATTTTGGCTCAGGTCATGATCTCAGGGATGTGAGATGGAGCCCTGAGTTGGGCTCCATGCTGAATAGGGAGTCTGCTTGAGATTCTCCTCTCTCCCTCTCCCTTTGCCCCTCCTCCCACATACTCTTTCTCTCTCAAATTAAATAAATAAATAAAATCTTTTAAAAAATGAGAAAGAGATTCTAAAAATGTTTTTGCTTTACAGGTAACTTTCTGAGGTGACTAAATTAATGTTAACATTGATTTTAGGTGTAAACATCTGGATTGATGGCTTTACTTGCTTGATTTAAATCTTTTTTTCTTCTTCTGTAGATATTCCAAGCTTGATACCATTATGTGCACCCATACATAGGTGTGCACCCACATTGTGACTAAATGTCTCTGTCCTCAAAGAAATAACATACAGTCATTCCTCCAGCTCAAAGCATAATCTCATTAGAGGATGGGGTCCTAGATGGCCTCAAGTTCCACAAAAATTGCTATCATCTTCCATTTTTCCTCTTTCAGAATCAGAGATTCTCTTGCCAACTGTCAACAGCCCAACCATCAAATAGGAGTAGAGATGGTGATCATCCCACAAAAAAGCCAGCAGCCCCATAGAGGTGCCTGGAATAATGAGAATCCCACACACTCTCCCACTTCATTTTCCATTCTAGAGGCATTCTATTTCAGTGCTCTCTTCTCCTTTTCATACTTTTTTTTTCCATTTGGGCACCCATCCAGACATTAAAATTCATATCTTCCTTTAAGAAATCTCCATCACAAACCATCATTATCTTTGCCTCTAGCATAGATAAGTCTTACATATGTGGTTCAAAGTTCCCTAGAGGGAGACAGGCAGTGGATGGAAAACAAAGAGTAATATACAGAAGTATTCAGCAACATTTCCCCCATGTTGGGCCCATCTGATTCAGGAATGCCTCATGTTCAATACCAAACCCAGGGATGATTTAATACAGATGTATTTAAGGGGTTCTTGTCTTTTTTCCTCTAGGTTGCCCTTAGTCACCCTGAAATCATGACCAGGTTTTTTAGTACAAAAGGCAACTCTTACAGGCCCAAGAAATGAACTCATCTGCTAGTCATTGGCTTGAAGTTCAGGTACTATTTCCTGCCTGGGTTCTGTATGTTTTCTGTTTTCAGAGCAGATCCTACTCACAGGGAGCTCAGGGAAAGAGAATGTACATGAGAGACACTGAGAAGACAGACCTGGCTCCAACAGTTTTCCACAGCCAGCACATCCAAAGATGGCCTTTTGGTTTGCAGCTGTAGCCAAGAAAATGATGTTCAGAACATCCTTTCCCAAATTCACATTGTTCTGAAACTGAACTAAAGGACTGTGAGGTCCCTGAGGGTTATGTCTTTAATTAATTCAATATTTATTATATACTACTATTTGCCAAGCATTGTGCATATTTGTCTTTGTAACACCAGTCTTAATCATAATAAGCATACAATAAGTATTTGTTTCAATGGATGAATATTTCCCCAATTAGAATGTGAGCTCTAAGAAGTCAGGGACTTGATCTTGACATATCCTGGGTGCTTAAAAAACTTCTGTTGAAGTGATGGGTTGATTAATTAATTAGTGTGTGACTAAAGTAATCAATCCACACCAAAAAAAAGGTTGTAGCAGACAGTAGTGGGAAAAAGTATGTTTGTACAATGGAAATATTTTGGGCTTTTGAAGTTAGACCTGAATGCAAATTCCACGCTTATCTTACCAATTTTGATTTCCCCATATGTAAAAGAAAACAGGGGTGCTTGGGTGGCTCAGTTGATTGAGCATCCAACTCTTGATTTCAGATCAGGTCATGATCTCAGCATTGTGAAATCAAGCCCCCATTGGGCTCTGTGCTGGGAATGGAGTCTGCTTAAGATTCTCTCCCTCCCTCTCCCTCTGCTCCTCACCCCAGGAAAAACAAAACAAACAAATAAATAAAGTGCAGGTGATGATGCTTATTTCATAATGGTGGTGGAAGATTAATGTGCTGCAGAAAGTTCCTAGAAGAGTGCTCAACAAATACTCTGTCTTCTCCTTCCACTTTCCCCAATCTCATCAGGAGGCTGAAGTGGGGCTGGAAGAAAGAAAGTCAGGAATCTCAATGCCTGTGTTTCTTCAAGGGCCTCCTGGAAAGGAGAGTGTAACAGAGACCGGTTATACCCTAAAATGTATGCTTCTCTTTTCCTCAAGGCTAGAATCCCTGGGTTTCAACACATGGATGCTGAGAAGAAAACTACATTTCCCAGCCCCTCTTGTCACTAGCTGTGGCCATATGACTGAGTTCTATCCAGTGGAATATAAATGTATTTCTAGGGCCTGCCTTTATAGGGTGTGTTTCCTCCCCTTTCTCTTTCCGAGTCCCTGCGTGAGACTCAGATATAATGGTGAGCCATCTTGGACAAGAGGCAAGGGCACTACCCTCTGGAAAGCTGACATCAAGAGAATAGTGTCGTAAGTCCCTGAACCCTAGAGAAACCATGTTAGCCCCCAAATGATGAGAGAGAAATGAACATCTCTCTTGTTTAAATCACAGATATTTTCAGTCTCTGTTATTGCAGATGAAAGTAAATCTGATCTAACGCAGGTGTATCAGGAGATCTGTGACCATCCCAGTCTTGTTAATGACAAATCTTCACCTCAGGCATTTTCAGCCTCCCCTGAAGTGCTCCCAGGCACCAGGCAAGGCTGATCGGCTTGGGGGCTGCTGCCTGCCCATCTTCTTCCTGGCTTGCTTCCCCACAGATTTAAAGTCCCCAGCTGCATCATGGGCAACCAATCAGAATCCAACCTAATCTTGAAAGCCTCTTCCAAGGTCAGCCTTGTTTATGAAGCCTTCCTCAGTGAATGGTAGCCCTCTTGGATCTCTCCCTTGTCTGAGCTCCCTAATGGCTGACCATACCACTGCCACTGGGGCTCAACTCCAGACGGTTTTCTAGGCCCTGAATTTTCATTTTGTTTTGTTGAAAGCCCTTCCTCCTTATTTTGACAGCAAACTCATTAACAGCTAGAACTGTGTTTTAGATATTTTAATCAAAATTTTATATCTTTATCTGATTTTGGAAGTTATCTTTACCCATGAAGCATCATGCTCTGAACTTTCAAAACATATGTGGACTTCAGTGATTGGCTTACATATCATCTTAAACTGTGATGTCCTCAAAAGGAAAAAAATCTTTTATAATAACCTCTGCATCCACAGCACCTGATTCATGCATGTACTTCAGTACTACTTATTAATAGATGAATAAATGAATTTTGGTAGCCTGCTAACATTTAGAACACTGTCTTATACTTAATGCTTGCATGGCTCTAGGTTAACGAGTTAATATGGGTGATGCCAAGATTTGGTACTTACATGACTTAAGACATTTTCAATTGCAAGCAGTAGATGCTTGATAGTGACTTCTGCAAAACAGAAATTTTAGTCTCATGTAACAGGGAAGTCAAGTAAGTGATGTCAGATAGTGCTAGACCCAGAGGTTCAAAATAAATCATCAGTGCCCTGTTTCTTTCCTTGTCTTAGATGTGTCTCTCTATGGTGCCTCTTCATGATGGTTTCTAGTAGCCCAAGACCTACCCTAGCAACCCCAGCAGTCTAACAAAAAATACATTCCCTAATATCTATGTCAAAAGGGGACCAGAGAGTGTTTTGATTGATTGGTCCAGCCTGGGAATATGTGTCCATTCTTGAGTCACTATGGCTAAAAAGTTTGGGTATTTTCCTGAACACACTAGGTCACGTGGCCACCTCTGCGGCTACAAGAGAGGGATAGCTAGTTAAGTCTCATGAAAGACCCAATGAAGAGAAGGGTTATATTACCAGAAGAAGAGGGAAGGAATATAAAACAGTCAAACCAACAGATGTACATCACCATCCTGGAGCTGGTGGCTCTTCCTAGATTGTCTGCCCAAAGCTATTGTCTGGGATCCACACCATTCTGGATTTCTCCTTGCCATCTTCTTGCCACTGTTATTATACTGCAGTCACCTAAACATTTCTTCAGTATCTCCCTCTTGCCCACCCCTTGCACTGTCAAAGTATAGTTAGTAATTTATCAAAAAGAAAGGGAGTAGGCACCCCAAGACTTAGGACTCTGCTTCACCTCCTGACTACCTCAAACCGAGGGTCTGGGGTAATTGGAGCAAGTCCCCGGTGATGTCACACGAGGGGACTCTGCATCTAGGCATCCCTTTCTGGCAGGAAAGAAATTCATTTTGACCTTATTGACTGGTCCCAGCAGCCTGTCAAGAAAATACTTGGTAATCTAATGAAACAATTTGCTTTTTTACTGTGATCAGATTTATTCTCCAAATTCTTCAGAAGGTACTGGATTGCTCCAGCCACTGTGGGGAAAAAAAAAAAATGGAATCCTTGAATAATACAAGAATCTCAAAGTCTCTGTTCTTAATTTGCCAAATTTTGTAGCACTTGTTGAACACAGTTGGATCCCAGCAGGAGAAGAGCCTTTTAAGGTTGAGCACTGAGTGGTTCAGAAAATGAATTCGGGATATAACTCTGTCCCAGAGTCACCCCACCTTTTTCCATGCCCTTGCTTCCTCCTACAGAACCACACCCATGACTTCTTTGAAATCTCAACCCAAGCTAGACTTTGTGCAAAACTTCCTGGAGTGCTTTGCCTTGCCTAAGTGTTCCTAGAAGTCAGTGCCTTCCTCTGGTTTCTCTCCAGCATGTCCCAGGGTATCTTTAACATTCCTGTGATTGCCTTTCATTACTAACGTGGTGTAATAACTTCACAGTTTGCAAACCACTTTCCCAAGCATTTTGTATGAGTGTCACAACAGCTATGAGAGATAAATATTACTGTTGTGTCCTGAGAGACGAGGAAACTGAGGCCCAAAAGGAAAATGTAATAACTTAAGGTCACATGGCTGGTAAGTGGCAAAGCCAGCTCCTCAACCCAGGGCCTCTCATTACAAATCCCTTGCTTTCCTTCCCATAACACACCGCCTCTAATTATATTCTCTTTAATGATCTTGTCTCCCCAGCAAGTCAGCAATCTTCTTGAAGGTAGGATGCAGGTCTTTTTGCCTCTATGTTCTACCTGCAGAAAGCCCAGCACAGTACCATGTATAGGATTGGGATTCCAAGATAATTTGTTGCCTGAAGCAATGGGCACCTGGCTGCTGTGAGCTGGGTCATTTTGGGAATTCAACCTGGCAGGCAGGGTAGTGTACCCATAGACAGGCTATATGCTCACTAGCATCTGGAGGATGTACAAAGTGAAGGCTTCATCTAATAGTGGTTAGAATTAATTATTCATGTATCCATTCATTCAACTGATTCTTGTTTTCTGTACATAGAAAGGTACCAGGCAAAGTGATAGGTGCTGGCTATACCCTGGTAAATAAAACAGACACAACCCCAGCCCTGAGGAGCTTATACCTCTGGAAGAGTCTTAGAATCAAATAGGTACAATCTAAAGATGAACTCTACATTATTCTTTGCTGTGTTAGTTTTCTGTTGATGCAGAACAAGTAACTACAAACTTAGCAGTTAAGAAAAACACCCACTTATTAACTCACAATGCTATTTCAAAAAAACAGGCAAATTCAACTGAGTTCTCTGCTGAAGGTCTTGCAAGGCCAAAATCAAGGTGCTAGCTAGGCTGAGCTATTATCTGAAGGCTCTGGAGAAGAATCCACCTTGAAGCTCATTTCTGGTTGTAGGTAGAATCTAGTTCCTTGTGGTTGTAGGATTCAGGTCCCTGATTTCTTCATGGCTGCCAACTGGGGGTTGCTCTCAGATGCTAGCAGCCACCCTCAAGCCTTTCCCATGTGACCACATCCATCTTTAGCTTTTGCTACCAGCTGGAGAAAACTTTCTGCTCCTAAAGGGTTCATGTGCTTAGGCCAGGCCCACCAGACCTAACTTTTTAATAGTCAGCTGTGCTATATAAAATGACCTAATCACTAAGTAATGTCATCATATTCATAGATTCCATTCACACTCAAAAAGAAGATTATGCAAGGATATTAATCATTGGGTATCATCTTAGAATCTGCCTACCTCATACCCCTGCTTAATTTGGGAATTTATAACTTCACATGAACTTTTGCTACAATCTAACAAGTGCTCTTTCCCTGTCCTGTCTCATCTGTGTTTAACCATATGATGCACTTCTATTCCTTTGCATATGCCAGTGTCTCTGCTAGGAATACTTCCCTTGCTTTCCATTCCTTCAGCAAAATCCTCCTCAAACTTCAAGACTCAAAGTCTTAAGTGACCTCTAAGGGGATCTTCTCAGCACCTCGCCGCTCCTCAATCAATGTTAAATACTCTCTTCTCTGTGTTTTCATGGCACTTTGTCCATCCCACCACTCCAGAACCTCCCAGACTAGTAGAGTCTTAGTCACCAGACTGTGAGATCTCTGACAGCAAAAGTTCCATTCATCTTTGCTTTTCCAGAGCCTCCCATGGATCTTGACACATAAGTACTTGCTGAATGTTTGTTGAATTGTACTAGACGTTCTATCCTCTGTTGAGAGACTTGTGATTAGAACAACACAGACCTGAAACCTAGTTTAGGTATGGAGTAGAATATCTGTAATTTTTACCTCCCCAGCACACATTCATTAACATTCTGTTTACTGCACCCCAATTTGCCATTAGGGAACCACCAAAC